AATTTTTGAAACAGGCTCGGGTATGCTTAAGCAAAAAGTTAAAAGAGGCTCAAAAATATGCTTAAACTTAAGCATATTTATAATAAAGTATGCTTATTTCAATACTTTCTAAAAATGCGTGCGTTACTAAAGGTTAATGGTTATAAGAAAAATAAAAAGTCGACTTTAGTACAGTATAATAAAAAATAAAAAATAAATACTATATACAAATGTTATCAATGAAATAATAAAATGAATAAAATTTGAAATAAATGAAATAATAAAATAAATAAAATTTGAATTTTTTAAATGGTTTATCGAGGCTCAGGAATACGCTTACATGTGCTTATTTTTTTTCCAAATCTGAGCCTCCATATGCTTATAAACGTTATGCTTATAAAAAAAAAAACATGTATTTCTACGTTTGGTTCAGTCTACATTAAAATATTTCGTTAAGTAACCAAGGTTCATGTCAAGAAGTGAATGATTTAATGTGTTAATATGTTAAAATAAAAGTTATTTTTTTTATTCATAGAAGAATATATGTATTTTTACACATTCTTCGTATTATTTAAATCATGATAAGTCTACAAAAAGATGCTCGATAATTCACTGTATAATTCACGATAATTCACATGTTACCTCTTCTATACACATAGTTTTACATTTAAAATTGATACTTGCATTATTATCTTTCTTTTTAGCTAGAGATTTTGAAAGATTATATATATATATATATATATATATATATATATATATATATATATATATATATATATATATATATATATATATATATCTTGAGGTATGGTATTTTTTTCTTGTAAAAATTGACACTTTTGATTTTCAAAAAGTCTTAAAACCTAACACAGTGGGAAAAAAGACGTCGAAAAGACGTCTTTAAAAGTCTTATTTACAATGTCTTTAAGACGTCTTTTTTTAGTCGAATATGCAAATCTAAAATACATCTTTTTTCAACATTGAAAAGGTGTCTTTTTTATCTTTATCTTGTCATGAAAAGACATAAAAAATGCGTCTTTAAGACGTCTTTGTTAATATATTATGCACTTCTAAAAAAGTGTTTTTTCTCGGGGTTGGAACGACTTTTTTGTCATGCTTTTTAGTATACTATAGTATCCTATACATTATAGTATTCTTACTTTTCATATAGGAAAAGCTTTTTTTATCAAATGAAAATGTTAATAGCTCTTCATACAAAGTATGACAAAAAGCTCTTTTCGATGCCAAGAAAAAAACCTCTTTTAGATGTCAATATAAAAGAGGAAGCATTTTTTACATCTTTTATATGTTTAAGCACATGAGAACAATTTATAAATAAAACAACAGTATTGTTCAACGGAATATTTTTTTATCTTTCTCTTTTTTTTATGTTTCTTGGGCGAGCTCTGTTTCTTGGCGCTGTTAAATAAAATTAACTATTTCACGTCGAGAAATCTTTTCATACGAGCTGGTTACGACTTCTAAAAAACGAGGAACATAAAAAACTATTGCTTGAATGTAATACAAAAAAGCAAATGAAACTTGATTAATTGAGTGAAACACATTAGGCCTACCGACTATTAATTCAAAAAGGGGCTAATCTTTTTATCTCCCTCATGTTTCCAGCGCGGTACTTTCTTTTTGAACATACTAGGTTAGATTGGGACAGGAGTAAACAGTCTAAAAATATATAAAAATGAGTATGCTAAAGAAATTTACAACCATCAAAATGACTATACAACGATTTATTTTATTATGTAGTACTTAAACCAAGCTAAACATTTGCACCTCTCAGATTTGCTATGAAAGCCAAGTTGAAAACAGATACTGATATTTTTCTGTCTTCTATGACGTGACTTTTTAATTGAATTTCGCTGAAACTAAGTGTTGCAGACTTATAACAATTTAAAAATCCGTTATTGACTAAAGACTATCAAAACGAAAAGATAATTTAGCTAATACATCTTGAGAGTTGTTATTAACTTAAACTGGATAAAAATATTAATAAAAGCTCTATTTTAGCCTGAAACATAATGATGCTTTACTTAACAACATAAAATTATAAAAACTGGCAATATCCATAGCAACACAGATGAAATATACATAAACAAAAATTAAGACTAGAAAGCTGCAATGATGTTTAGATATAAGAAAGTGTACTTTTCCAGTATCATTTTCACTTGGTATTTTGTATCCAAACAAAAGTTTTGCAAACAGTTCTAAAGATAAATCTGTTGTCATTATGTGCATTTTTTACTTGCTTTTTTAATGACAGACTACAGTTAACAAGGAAATAACAACTTTAACATAAAAGTTAAAGAGCCAATCTTTTGAATAAACAATTTTATCATTCAACTAAATAAAAACAACAAAATTATTCAGATCATTTAAAAATATATATAAAAAAAAATTGCAAGCCTACTGAGTGCTTCTTTTTTTCTATCGTTCGTTTCACTAGAACTTGAACAAATAAATACAGACAGAAATTGTTTACAGGTTTTATTTTTCGTCTGAAAATAAATATTTTAATTTAATATGTAATAAACATCGTTCTTCAAGCACAACACATTAAAAATTTAGTCCAAAAATAAACGGTAAAGTTTTTAAAACACTTACCGACGACTAACTTAATCGAGACTAAATCATATCGATACAGTCTTACTGGCACCACGCCATTCACTTTTTTCTTCTTCCCATTAACATTTTCTAGCTAATCAGCTGCAATTATATATATATATATATATATATATATATATATATATATATATATATATATATATATATATATATATATATATATATTATATATATATATATATATATATATATATATATATATATATATATATATAATTTATAAAAAGACATAACAAGTCATAAAAAAAGACGTCTTTTCTTTGTCTAAAGATATCTTTTTTCCGACTGGGAAAATAATAAACTACCTTTAAAATGTCTAACTAAATATGGACCTAACACATTAAGGACCATTTGTGGAATTTTTTTACTAATGAAGTAAAAGATAACTATGAGTTTTTTAAAACAAAAATGTAACTTTTTACTAATTTTCAGAAAATTGGCAGCCATTTTTAAAAGAAAAATGTATTTTTTAATATTTAATTTTTAAAAAAAACTATTTTTTATTAAAGACTTTATCTAAATATGTAAATGTTATAAAAATTTTTATTTATTTGTCACTTGATATTTAAAAAATGTCTTAAAAGATTTTATAGTTGATAGATAATTGATAGTTGATAGTTTATACTTGATAGATAGTTGATAGTTTATAGATTTATTAGTAGATATAAGTAGTATATATAAAATAGTATAAAAAATGTTTACAAATATCTTAACTTGCAACGTGTAACTGGCTACATATCAGTGTTGTTCATGTTTAACCGAGAAATGCAATCAGATCATTTTATGAAGTAAATTTATGTTTATTCTACTTTATTGTGTTATTAGGATATTTAAACACACTAAACATTACTTTTCACTTTATTTGGCTAAGATAAGCAGGTTTTAAGGAAAAAAACTCCTTGAAAATTTTTGAAGTTCGAAGGTATATCTTTTTATTATTAGATCTTCATAATAATTATATTAACTAATATTTTTACTTTTATATTTTTTATGTTTTATGTTTTTTATTTTTATGTTTTATGTTTTATTTTGTATTCATGCATTTCAAAGTTATGTTTTCATTAAATTTTAAAATTTTATGCAAAAGATCTTGATTTTATTCTGCTTTTTTTTTTTTGTATACTTGTATTGTAACTTCATTAAATAGTTTTATGAATGATAAATATTTTACTTGGATACATTAAGTTATTATTAAATTGGTAAACATTTTTATTATTGAGTTTTGTCATTGATTACAACAGTTTTATTATTGAAAGACTTCCAGTAATGTAAAGACTGGTACTACTGTGAATAAAAAGTATAAACAGCTACAAAAAAGTGTTTTACGAATTATAAATAGTATATTTAAACAGACTGTTTGAATAAACTGTTATATTATATTAGTAATGAACTGAAGACATAACAGAATTTTCTATTTTTATAGATTACTTAAAGATATACACCAACATTTGTATAAAAATTTTTTAAAGTTTTCTATTTATACATATGTTAGTGTATACCTTAAAAAACTGTATTTCTTTGATTTGCATTCAATAATATACATTTATATTTTTCACGTTTAAAAAAAAATTGATTTTGTAGTAATCTATAATAATAGTGTTTATAATAATCTGATACAATGTCAGAGGGGGGTACAAGGTATCAGATTATTATAAACTATCTAATCTTAACTATCAACATATCTAAAGCTTGGCCGTTTAACAATCTACGCAAATTACAGTTTGTGTAGATTTATGAAATAGAATTTACAAATTGAATGAAAATAGAAAATGTATGATAAATTGATAAAACATTGGTAAAATTTTTTTTTTTTAGCAACAACCCAATTTAAAATAACTTTTATAGCAGTATTTTCTAATAAGAATTTTTTTACTAATTAGATTATTTATATTTCATAATTTCTTTAAATTATTTTTAGAGATTGTTTAATGTTGGTGTTTTACAAAATTTAATGTTTAAAAAATCATTTTACATATAGATTTTTAGTTTTTAATAATAATATTTTATTAAGGAGTATAATTATAATTGGAGTGTTCAATTTTTGATATCAATGTGAGAGTATAATCTCCAGATATAATTAAAAAATTGTATGAGGAGGAACATAGACCAATGATCCATACGCTTTGTTTTCTTATAAATCAAATTCAAATTTAGCGCAAAATATCTGTACTGATGGAAACCACTAGCTAAAACTTTTCATATTGATTGGTCTATTAAAAATGTTATGTTACAGTACAGTCTCTCTAATTCGAATTTTATGGGGGAAAATAAGTTCGAATTAGAGATATTTTCGAATTATAGAAAGTTGCTTTTTTTCAAATATTCTTATCAAAATAACGAGTAGAAATCGAACAAACAAACAAACAAATAGTAATTCTTAGGCCTAAATGCAATATATATTATGCGTTTTAAACATTTACATTTTCAAAAAAAAAGTCAGTATTAGTATATTGTCTTTTATGACTTTGTAAATCTATGTCAACGACGCAATTTTTATCTTTAAGAGCCTTTGTCAAATTTTCTGCAAAGTTAGAACAAAGACTGTAATTTTCAAGTACAGTGATAGCATGCACTGCTTTGTTTAAACTTGGTTTTGTAGCATCGTCAAAAACATCAACGCACTCATCATCCGATTTCTGTTCAGTTTCAATAGCATCATGTCTAGAAACTTCTGCAATAATGTTGTCATATGATGATATTTTTGCAATGCAAACATCGAAATTTATGTTAACTAACTCATCGATCGTGAGGTTAAAATCTGCATCAAATTTTGCTTTTAACAATTCAAGATCGCCTTTAGAGTTTTCCATTACAGCCTCTTCTACTTCTAAGCCACAGAATGGATTGTTATTAACATTTATATGCTTTTTTACTACTTCTAATAATATTATTGATTTCTTGAAACAATTTATAAAGGTCTGCTCTGGAATAGAGTTCCATACTTCTGTTAGCATAAACATAGCAGTTAAAATAGAAAGCGTAAGTGTCTTGTTCTCTTTTTCCAAGGCAGCTATCTGCTTTTTCACTGCAAGTGAGCGATATTTTGCTTCAAGAGATTGGATAATTTCTTGATCCATAGGTTGGGTGATCGAGGTTGTATTCGGTGGAAGAAAGATAAGCTCCACCCAATCAAGTTTCTGCACGTTAGGATGGGCAGAAGAATTATTTTTAATTAAAGCAATTTTTTTTTCTGAAAACTAAACTTTTGGTCAATTTCTTTAACCCACTCCTCGAATAATTCTGCCGACATCCAACTTTTTGATTGGACCCCATAGCAACAAGGAATATTTTTCACACCTTTGAAACATCTAGGAGATTTCGATTTTCCATTTGCTAACATTGAAATTCTTTCTCCTTTAACATTACCCGTGGCCGTCCCAGTCAGTCGAACTTTACTATGCTTGCCTCCTGTGCACTTTTCATTACTTAAATGTAAACTTTTGAGGCAAACATTGGTAGAGAGAGAATTGTAGGCAGTGTTGTTTTAAGTCATAGAGCGATCATTTGCTCATTAAACAACTTTGCTTCTCCAGAAATGGTCTTGAAAAATATGCCATACCTACAAAAAAATTTATAATTGGTTAGACATAATATATACATATGTTTAAATGTAACTTTGACGTCTGTGCAAGTTTCCAGAATGTCCAATTCCGGAATATATTTATTTTGTTTTCTTTAAAAAAAAAAAATATAAAAGCTGTAAAATAATCATATATTGTAAAGTCGTAAATCATAATAATTGGATATAATAAAACAAGACATTAATTTACTTTTTCTTTAATTTGTTTAGCCATTCATTCGAAACTTGAAAATTTTTAAAGCTTAACTCTTTCGCAAAATATAAAGCTTTTTATTTTAGGGGCTGTCCATTTATTACGTCAACAAAATAGAGGGGAGGCAGGGTCTGCATTTTTTGACAATGATTGACAAGGGGGAGGGGGGAGGTCAAGAAAAGTTGACATCAACATTTTTTTTTTTTTGAACATGTTACTTTTTTTTATAAATTTAACTGTTTAAAAAAAAGAAAATTTGGCAGCGTTTGCAATCCTGTGTTATATAGTCGCTCAACCTTCAGTATTTTAATTCCTATCTTATAACTTTTATTCCTACTTTTTAAAAACAGTTTTGTGCTTTAAAAAGACCGACGTACAGAAATAAATAACTACACACAAGATGTTTACTCGTAACATTATTATTTTTTCAGAGTTATTGTTGTTTCAGTCTGCTGTGCATTCAAAAAAGATTTATGTAAGTACATTGTCTACATTACATTGTTTAAACTTTTATACAAGGGGTGCAACCTGCAGCTTGCAAGCCTCTTGTGATTTTTTCGATGTCAAGATGAAGTTCTTTAGCTGCATCTTGACATCGAAATTTTATTATCTTGACATACACAAATATTAGCATAATCAGGGATGCGGAGTCCTAAAAGGACTCCGGTTTTATAACTCTATTTTTTACTGGTCTCTGGTGTTGAAAAGCTCTGAACATGTTGGTTGATTTATGATCTGCTAAATAAAAAAAATCCATAAAGTTTAATGACTTGAAACATATTGTTTTTAAGCCCAGAGTCCCAGAGTCCTAGCCGCCATTATACCTCAGGAATCCGAGTTCAAAAAGAGATTGTTCCTCTAATCCAAAAGTCTTAACTTTTTTTACCAATATTAATCCGTAAGTGTTTTTATATTATTAATGCTCCTGGATACCAAAATTCCCTAAATATAATATTAAAATAAAAATGTTGGTAGCTCTTTAAAAACTGAAAAACTTTGTATACTGTAACTTTTGGCTCTTTCGTCTCAAAAGGTTGCCAACCCCTGGTTTATACAATTTGTTAAATGCTTTTTTTGTTATTCTAGACTCTATTAAAAATAATTGGTTTTCACTTTAAATTTGTATTAGGTCTAATGTTTAAGTGAGGAGAATTTTATTAATTTGAAATATGATTATAATTTAAACGTGTGAACATTTTTGTGAACCCTTTAATCTTTTTTTTCTTAAGAGTAATTCTTAGTATTTTTAAACTGGAATTATGTTTATAAGTTAAAAGTTTTTTCTATAGCTTTTACTTTAATTCACTTTTTGTTCAGAGCAAGCATTTGTAATTTTAAATGATTATATTCATTTGAAGTATGTTCATAAATTAAAATTTGAATACATTTTTTTTCTAAACATTTTACTTTGAAACACTGTTTTGTTTCAGTTCTAAACTCGTCAATTTAAAACTTTTTTTTTTCCATCTTAATTTTTTTTCTTTTTTTTTTTTTTGGTGGGGGATGTTATCGAATGTTGACGTAATTTTATAGAGGGGTCACTGAATGTTTGACAAGTTATTGACTAGGGGGAGGGAGGGAGGTAAAAATTGCCAAAAAATTGTTGACGTAATTAATGGACAGCCCTTTACCAGCAAAGCAATAATTGGGACATTATCAGCTCTCATTCGAATGAATCATTTAAGTACAGCTTTATTTACTTGGTTAATTATGTATCAACTTTCACCCGTTTAGCCAAATTTCCTTGACAAAAAGCGTCAAAGATTTTAACTTTATTCTTTTTCCAGGTTAAAAGAGTGTTTGGTGGAATATCAAAAATTTTTGAAACCTCTTTAACTGTTTTTCCTTTCTCGAATTCCAGTAGAGCTTCGTAATTCTGCTTTAAGTTGTTTAAATTGTTTAAACTGAAGATAATTTCACTAATGGTTTTTCAAAAACTCAAAACATTCGAAATTTGAAAAAAGAATTCAACGGTTTAACGAACTTTTTACTCGTCGGAAAATAAAAAAGTTCGATTTACAAAGAGAATTTTACAGATGGGTCTGAAAAATTCATTCGAATTGTAGAGGTTTTCTAGTTATAGAGATTCGAATTATAGAAAGTTAAACGTAATAGTTTTTTAGCGTTTCACGGTGACTTTGTATTTAATCAAATTAAGGAGGTTTTCGAATTAAGGAGATTCGAATTAGAGAGATAGTACTGTATTTATACACGGTTTCCACTTACTATGACCGTAAGTGTGAAAACACGCGTCTAAGTGTGAACACACGTCTTATTCTGCACCAAAAAAAGTTTAAAGGGTTTACAAAAATATGTACACTTAACATATTTAAATTATGAACGTATTTCAAATTAATAAAACACTTTAAAGTGCCAATCCTCTTCACTTCAACATTAGACATAATCAAATTTCATTGTGAAAGTCAATCATTTTTAATAGTCTAGTATAACAAAAAAATGCATTTAACAAATTGTAACCGAGGGGTCTAATATAGAAATCTCTATAAATACACTTCAGTTTAACTTGTACCTTAAAAATTTAGGGATTAATAGTATTTTACAATATTCACGAATTTTTATTGAACATAAGTTGTTGAAAATTTAAAACTTCATATTTGAGTAATTGTTGTGTTGTTGTTGTTTTGTAGTAAGTAGTGCTCATACTGACATGAATTTTTTTCAATTTGTTTGATATTTTTTAGAATAGTAATTAATTAAGAATATGTACTAATTAAAGACATAATTAAAAGTAAATTCACTCATTACTTGAATCTTTCCACATAATGAGAATATATATTAGTAACAATAAAAAATAGTACTATCAACTTATAAATAGTAGCAAAATGGGTATAGCAGCAAAAGATCAAAAGAATGTTGCGTGATCTAGTCAAAACCGCACTAGGTTGAAAATGATAAACTAAAAATCATTAAAAAAAAAGTTTATCAATACTTTGCAGATAACCTCAGAAAAAGTCACGCACTTCGTCGCAAATTAGTAACATCTGCTTCAATTTTGCTTACTCTTTAAAAAAAGTGACTTTTTTTAAAGAGTAATTATTAATTAATTGGAAAAATTAAATATAGCCAAGTGCGCAGTAATAGATTAACATATAAATCTGACCGCAACATATATAACATTAATTTTATAAAACAAAACAATACATTAACAAGTTTTATAACTTTTATTACAACTTCATTTAAAACTGCATATCCAGAACGCGGACGTTTTCATAAAAAAATGCGGTACAGATATGAGGTTAATTAATTGCAAAATACTTATAAGCACTTCATCAGGTTGGATTTCATTCAGAAATGCTCGTAAAAAACCCACTTTGCTTCATGTTGTAGAATTAATGTAAGATATTGTAAAAAAACATTACTGCTTTTAGAAGACCATTTTTAAGAGTAAATGTCTACTTTTTATTTATCTTCTTTATAAAGTTTGTTTAACTCTTTCGCACCTATATTTAATATTTGTAAGCAGTAAAAATAAAAATACTATACTGAAAATGATATATATGGGGTAAAATGCATGATATTTACACCCCATAACTATATATTTTCAAAAAGATAAATAAATAGAGATTGTGTCTCTTTTTTAAAAAAAAATAAAATACAAATGATGGCGGATACAAAGATCACGTGACTTTTGCGAATTTTTTTATTTTTTTTTACAAAAAAAAAAAGTCTGGCTTCATACCTTAAAAAAAGTTAATACATTACTTATCAAGACTTAAAACTACTCGTGGTGTGAAGAAAATAGATAAAAATTAAAAAATACATTCTGTAAAGAAAATAGATAAAAATTAAAAAATACATTCTGTAAAGAAAATAGATAAAAATTAAAAAATACATTCTGTAAAGAAAATAGATAAAAATTAAAAAATACATTCTGTAAAAAAAATAGATAAAAATAGAGTGCTTAAGCACTTAAAAATCTGTAAGATATCAAAATTTATCAACTAATTAGCCAGGACCACAAATATTTAACTAAATATAATAGCACAAAAAACAGTTTTGTACCAAGAAAGGCATCAAATTTGTACTCCAAAACTATATATTTTTTAAAAGATAAACTAATAGACATTATGAATCTTTAAAAAATAAATTAAAATATCAGTGATAGCGGACATTGTAATCACGTGAATTTTCAAAAATAAAATTTTAATCAAAATCAAACACTCAAAAAAACTGTCAACTTAGAGGTCGTTTACAAACTTCGTCACTAAATTTTTAACCATTTGAGACCTTCCCATCTCCTCGTCACAACATCGTAACACTTTAGTTACAAGTTACGTATGAGTTGTCAATAAACCACTAACACCCTCGCTCCTTACCTGCTCCCCCCCCCCCCCCCAAATCCATAAAGTGTGACGTAATTTATTGACCCCTTATTTCTATTACGGAGCTTTAAAAGTTAGTTTATTACGGCTATTTTTGAAGCTGAGCCTTTAAAGCATAAAATCAAGTAGCTTTGATTAATGGCTCTGCTAAAAAAAACATTAAATTATTGATTTATTACTACAGGTTTATTAACGACCCGTTTCGGTGCGAAAGAGTTTAGAGGAGATTCTGTGACATTATATTTCATCACAATTCGTTGAATGGATTGCTATTAAAAACAAATTTAAAAAATTATATGAAGAATGTTATAAAAGGTGGGATGCAAATTCTATATAATAAAATATAACTTTGCATCTTTATGGCGAAGTGTAGAGATCTGCATTTATAATTAAATATAGATCTCTGTATTAAAAAATTTCAAATCTAATACTGAATTTTACGA